TGTCCCAGGAAGGCGCGGGTGATCCTGGCACTGTGCGATTCCTTGGGCCTGGCGCCGGAAAATCCTACAAATGATGAAAGTTGCTGGCGGTAGTCTTGCTGGAAATGCTGTGTGATCGACCGCCCTCCTAGGTTAGAGTGTGTTTCTGTTGGTGGGGTGTTTTGTCCGTCATGGGCAATTCGGTAGCAAACGTTAATCTTGCAGCCTTGCCTCTCTGTGATGGTCGCGGGGTGCGGTTTTACAAATGCAGATCCTATGTTTTTCCAGGGTTCTGTCTTCTACCGAACGGCCGGCGCTTGGGGAGGAGGTGCCGAGCAAGAGTAAAAACCCCGCATCTTTACTTCAGGTTGAATGGGTTGCCGGGTGTGGCTGCAGGAAAGCATCTCGCTTACGTTGGGGCAGTGCGTTGGCTTTAAACTGCCGCGGCGCCTTCGTAAGGCTCTTGTGGCGTTGGCTGCCTGCTTCCTTTTTCTGTTGCGCATTGGTTTTGCGAGAACTGAATTTGTAAGGGGTTGCTGCTTTTTTTTTTTGGCTGCCTTGTTGTGGCATCGAGGACTGTTCTTCCGCTTTTTTTGGGAAGGCCGAAATTCGAAAAGCCAGGCATTGGCGCCTTCGGCGCCTTCTCGCCTTTTTGCGGGGCGGTTTGCGTCGGGCGGCCGCGGTTGCGTTTTTTAAAGGGGTTCTCCCTCGCGATCTCCCGGATAAGGTCGGATTTCTTGGATTTTTACTTTGGCGGCGGGGCGGGGCAAACCCACCTCGTTCTATAATGTTCCGCTTGGGGTTTGGTGGGTTTTGCGTCTGAAGGGTGGCCCCGGTCTCGGCGGTCACGGCGGCTGGCAAAAAAAGGCTTTTGGCCGGGCTTTTTTTTCATGGACTTTGGCCGGGCTGCGTGGGCCGAGTGCTCGGGAGGTTGGTGAACAGGCGCTTTTNCCCGCCATTGTTGGCGCCCGTTCGTCGAGCCGTTTGGTGGCGGAAAGGCCCGGCGCTGCCCAGCTTCCGGGCGGGGGGCGGCCACAAAGCAAAAAGCGCCGGGGCCGTTCCGCCACCAAGCGGGGCGGGGCGGTGCGCCGCCCCTCCCGGGGTCGCGTGTGTGTGTGTGTGTGTGGCTTCCTCTGTTGTGGTGGGCTCGGGCCGGGCATGGGCGTGCGTATTCCGTGTTCCGTTCTGTTGGGTTGCGGTGGGTTGCGCTTGCTGGGCGTGGCGTGTCTGTCGTGTTTTTTTTGCCCGGTTTGGCGCCCATGTGCCCGTTTGTTGGGGCAAGAAGGGGGGACAGGTGGTTTTATGAAGGATTTTTTAGTTCCGTCTGTTTGGGTGCGGATGCTTGTCTTGACGCAAATTCTTGGTGTTTGCTTCATTCCGAATGCCTTATGAGAGGAAACATTTAAGTAGGACCTCCTGGGTGTGCGTTTGGCTATTTTATCTTCAGGGGCTGCTGTGCCCTGGAACGGGCCCAGTGTGTAAAGGTGTCCGGGAGAAAGCCAAAATCAAATAAAAAAAAGAAAACAAACCGGGGGTGATGTCGTGTATGAGGGGAAAAAAGCGAGCTGTTTTTATTTGTTCCCTTTATTTTATTTTTTCATTCCATGTCTTTTTTGAACACAGAGAGCGAAAATAGGGTGCTATCTAATTCACCATTATGCATTAAAGAAACAAATGGAATGGCGTGTGTTGGTGATTTTTCTCTTTTTGTTTTCGAATGAAGCAGCGTTCCAAGAAAAGGACGATTAAAGTACAATTTTCTTCATTCATGTATCTAAATGTTTTTCTCTTTCATTTCTTTCATGTGAGAAGAAGAGCACAACGGGAAATAAGCACTGATTTTTGGGACCACTCGCCTTTTGCTTTCTGAAGCATGACCCTTGTTGTTGTCAGTGAGAAGAAATATTAAATGCCTTTCAGAATGTGTCTTTTTATTTCTTTGGAGCCTGCGAAAGGAATTGTCAAGCCACGCCCTTGTTAAGTATACAAACCGAACAGGTATCCGATTCCTCGTCTGGTTCTTCCCTTCTTGTTGCATAGGGCGTCGGAAAGCGCAACTTCTGAAAGGCCGACCCAACTCAATCCTCTTCGCCCTGGCGCGGGAGGCGGGTTACGCGTGCTTTCAGCACCTCCCTTCTCATCAGTTCATAACGATTAACTTCACCATGCCTGGTCTTAGGCATTTACTTGGGCTTCCCACGTGTGCAGAAATCTGAATTACTGTTGTAATTTGAAAATACGACCCATCAAACAACACTTATTTTCTATCTCTCACTGCACTCTATGAAGGAGAGGTAATATCCAGACTATTCTTGTTTTTTTTCATTCTGCATGTTGCTTCTGCCATGCGTACAATGGAGTGCAATTCGTGGGAAGTTGTTTTTGTGTGAACCGAAACAGGCGTTAATGTGTTTAGAGTCTATTTTTGATTTTGCCCCGTATAGGGGCTTTGTTTTTTTCATCTGACTTCCTTTTGGTGCCCAGGTGTGCTGTGCTTTTTCGCAAACTAATGCTCTTGCGGGGGTTTCCCATGGAAGGGAATATGGCAAAGGACCTCGGCGCTTTGTTTTTGCGTGTCGGCTGAAGGAATATTAATGAAGCAACATAAAGTGTTTCCATGAGGTGTCTGGCTTCGCATCAATTTCAATTGCCGCCTTAATTATCTACAGTCGTTGACTTTTTGTCTTTACAACTGATAGAAACGAGAAAAGAAACGGTAATTAGCCTGGATTCTTTTTCGTTTTTTACCTTCGACACATTAGGCTAATTTTAAGGAACTTATCTTGACCGTGGAGCCCTGCCCAATGTGAGTGAAATGTGTGTTTTCGACGCCGGCAGACCTTTTGCTTTGGACATTGCTAAATATTATGGTTGCTACCAAGATTCAAACCAAAAAGCAATTCTCGATCTATGCACCCAAGGGAGCAATGAGTGTGATAGATACACAATTGTCTCAACTTCGCATTTTCAAAATAATGCCGATGAGGCCCGAAACGGATTGATAATGTTAGTGTTTTTTCGTAAGGTGTTTCCTACGTTTGTATGCCTTCAAGAAAAGACGTGTGAACAAGAAAAGAACAATCTGGGGACGATGGATCCTTGGCAAGCAATATTTAAATATATATATATATATATATATGAAGAAACACTTGTGCTTTAGCTTTCTTGATTATACTTGTTGTGGAGCTTTTTACCTGTGTACAGAGGTCGGCTCAATATTTTTTTGCGCTGTTGCTCTGTTTGGGGTATATATGTTTTATATATATGTCCATAGGTATGTATATATGTTTTGGTGCGTTTTAAGTTTTTTTTTTGTGCTGTTCTTTTTATTTTTCGTTTCGTTTTTTTTTTTCCTTGGGGAGTCGAAACGATTGATGAAGCAATACGAGAGATCCGAGCTAAAAGTCCTGCAGGAGGGACGCTTTCTGCGGCTTTGTGAGATTTCGTACCAACCTGTGCTGGGGGATTTGACTTCACCTTCCAAACCAAAAGTGAAGGGTGTGGGTGGCAGAAAATGGGAAATGTCGCAGCGCACAACCCGTCAGGTTCCTCTTGAGTTGTACCGGCGCACCCCCGTTCCCTTTGCCATTGATAGCGTAGAGATATGCGCTTTCTTGCGTCGTTCTGAAGAAACGTCCTTAATCCTAGTTGCACAGTATCGTCCGCCGTTGGATGCGCTGGTGCTTGAATTTCCAGCAGGACTAATTGACCCGGGTGAAAATGTAAGGAGTGCAGCTTTGCGTGAGCTAAAGGAAGAAACCGGTTATGCTGCAACTGAAGAGGATATCACCAGTGTAACAGATCCGCTTTGTTATGAGCCTGGCTTGACGGATTCTTGTGGAGAATTCGTGAGAATATTGGTTGACGGCGACAAAAAAGAAAACCACAATCCAAAGCAGCAGCTTGATGATGGGGAAGATATTGAGGTGATTTTGTTGCCGATACATTCGAAGAAATCCGATGCCGAAGGCGATACCCCTTTGCAGGCACTTGAGAAATTGTTGAAGGGGAAGTATGATACCCAGCGACGAATCATAATTGATGCGAGATTATATATGTTTTTGGATGGCCTTTCTCTCACAAGGGCGATGCGTTGGTAGTGTGCTGTGGGCATGAGAACCATCATTGAGGAAGGAATAGTTGACAGTTTCTGTGTTTTATTTTTCGTTTGAAGCAAAGAGACAAAAGAAATGGCAGACACCATGAACAGTCATGCTCCAGAGCGACACCAAACGCGTTAAGCTTTCTTGTTTTGTTTTTGGCAGTTTTTCTTTGGTAATGGCCAATGTTTGCTTGTTGTTTTTCTCTTTTTCAGCAAGGGGAGAATAGTTTCTCTATGCTTTTTGGGCACTCTTTGCGGCTGTCCTCTTCATTATGGATCGAGAATGCACAAATCACTAATGTACAAAAGTATTGCTGCTCAGCGAGGCTTGTTTCGACAAGCTCAAGGACGGATGCACCAGCAAAAACGAATAAACGAAAGACGAGCGGAAAAGATTTCACATTAGACCCGGTTGAGATGGAGACAGTCTTTAATGTGGATCGCGCCTCCGGTTTAAAGGAAGGCAATGATACACAGCATACAAATGAGGTACTTGAGAGTAATTTTTTATCGAACACAAACGATGCGTTGTACGCCAAGGTAAATAATGAGGGAGACGGAGAGGAAGAGGAGCCACTTGCAAAGGGTCTGCAGAATACAGTTGGTTCCACACCATATCGCGTATCTTGGTACAACTATGAATCGGTTAGCCCTGCGAAGCGCTTTACGTATTGGGCATACAGGCGACTGCGACAGCTGCCGCCAGAATGGCAGGAATATTATCGCCGCATGCTCTACCAGGAATTGAGTGCGGCACGTTATGTAAACCAGACATGGGATTGCTTCATGATGGTTGTGGATGGCTACCGGAAGGCGAAGTGGGTTCTTAAGAAGTATGGGATTCCTGTTGATGAGAGTCTCATCCCAAAACCCTACAATAATTTTTGGGAAGAGACTACGCATGAGGAGCGCGTGTGGGCCCATCGACGCTCGCATCAGATGAAGGAGCTTCAGGCTCTTCAGCGGGATGAAGACGAGCTTGTCTTCGGGGCGAACATGATGGATCGACGAGAGGTGTCGTACGGTTCCCTTAAAAATTTACAGACTGGCATGCAGGGGGGGACACCAGTGCACGCGCATGACCTCCCGGCTCCTTGTGAAGCGGATGTGAAAATGTCACCACATGCTGAAGAGATGAGCAGTGCACTAATGTCGAGTATTGAAGATGACAAGCTTTGGAATCCCGTCTTGCGTTCGCGTCTCCACACCCGGCGCCTGCGGGAGGAGACGGAGTTGTATGCGTTTGAGGACGAAGAGGAAGATGATGACTCCAAGTCTTGAGATATTTATTGGTTTTACGAAGAGTGGGTTTATTTATATATACATATATATAGAGAGAGAAAAAGGGAGAGAGAATCCCTGTTTTTTTTCTAACTCTGTTGTTGGGAATCTCTACTTCACCTTTTCACAGAGGTGCAAACCTGCCGCTCCTCTTTATTTTCTTTGCTTTGTATAGCTTCGGGTATTCCCCCGAGGGTAAAGGGATTTGCAAGCGCAAATCGTAGGAAGACAAAGAGGGAGAAAAAAACAGTTCAAGAGAAAGGCGTCCGGCGAGCATCAAGCGACGCAATGGCAGACCTCCTGACGTTGCAGCAAATTACCGAGCTAAAGGAGGCATTTGCTGTGTTTGATAAGGATTGCGATGGGAGTATTACGGTGGAGGATCTTGGTGAAGTCTTCACGGCCATCGGCCAAAAGGTTTCGCGCGAGAAACTACAGTCGATGATGGCCGAGGCTGATTTGGACGCCAATGGTGTAATTGACTTTCCTGAATTTCTCACTCTCGTCGCCACCAAAGTGAATGATCCCGAGGAGAAAGAACTGGAATTGCGACGAGCCTTCAGCATATATGATCTTGGTAATGCTGGGTACATCAATGTAACAGATCTGAGGTTTGTTATGGGACGTTTAGGTTGCCCGCTTTCCGCAGAGCAGGCATTTGAGATGATAAACGAGGCGGATATTGATGGTGATGGTCGTTTGAGCTTTGAAGAATTCCGACGAGTTATGATCGAAGGGTGGCCGTGAAGTCAAGGTGGTCACATCTCACAATCTGTCAAGAGGGGATGTAGGTTGTAATGCTGTGTATGTAAAGAAAACAAGTTACTCTATTGTTCTCTGTTTATTTGTATATATATATATATATACATATCTGTGCATCTATGCATATTAGTAGTTTCTGTACTACAATGCTTACGATTCGTGTGCGACGAATTTCTTGTGGGAATGGTTGGTGTCTGAATTCATCTGCTCTACTTGTAGTGGTCGACTATTATATTTATATATATAGTCAAAAAGAGAGCGATAGATATACATGCTGAATGAGAAAGAGTCCCTTTTGTTGGTAGGACCACGTGCTGGCGACAATGTGAAGGGTAACAGGGCGTTTGCACGTTCTGTCTTGATTATGCTCCCAGAACTTACACCTGCTGCTGTGCTTGGGAACCCCTCTGTGGGGCTTCTCCTGCGTCTGGCCATATCACATGCGAGAGACTGTTTTCGTAGCGATCCTTCGTTTGGGGAATTGCTGCGGTCACTTTCGAGCTACTACGTTCAATTGAAGCGGGTGAATGCGAGTCAGGGCACATCAGACTCAATTATGGGCTTCGCCACGGAGATCGCAACCCGTGCAAAAACGATGCCTATGCCGAAAAACACTTCTGAGGCCCAATTATCTTTTGCCATGATCCTGCTTTTTGCATTAGCAGTAGTAGCCGATCTGCTTGTTGTGATCGTTATTGCTACCTCTGACCAATGCTGCGGGAGCAGTGAAAGTGCAGCGATTGCCTTGGCTTCCCTCGTGGCAATCATCATATTTTTGCTCCTTGGCTTAACGTACCAGAAACTGAAAAGGGCCAAATCCGACATCAAAGCCCTTGACAATCTTTTTTGGAGGCTTGTCGAGTCCTCTTTATCTTACACACCCACGGAGGATCGAAACCAATGCTGTAATACCCTCTCAAAGGAGCTCGAAACGGGAAATGAGGTTACAAACGATATATGCGGCTTCCTTGTAGACCAAGAGGTGGTCCATCAGCACAAAAAGGCTGTAAACGCGCTACTCGTGGATGCCACGGACGATGACGGTGACCTCACGCTGCGTTTGAGAAGCCTTCCCCCTGTTTCTATTGGGCTTGGCGCCGTGCTTCAGCACCTCTTCGTGATTGTTACGGACCGAGACAGCAAGGTGGTGCTGTGGAGTGAGGGTGCTATGGCTCTGTGTGGGTTTAGTGCGCGTGACGTAGAGGGAAAGGATATATACAACCTCTTAAACGGCGAAAAATCTGTTGAGCAATATAAAACGATGGTAGGTGCAGCTGACAAAAACTTTGATCTCTCGGAACGTGCCTTGACGCTTGCCCACCTGACGTACGGCAGTGTTACTATAAACGCCACAGTTGTCTCTGCAAGGGATGCCACGACGAAACATCCGGTGGGGTACGCTTTGATTGGGTCTGTACGAGAGGCGGGAATCTCGCGAACGCTGTCACTCCTTCACGATTTTTTTGTGACGGAACTCTCTCACATAGGGTGTAAAGAACCACAGTTTCGCCAGATTGTGGATTGCCTGCAGTGGAAGAACTTGCAGGAGTTGTCTTCTTCCGCCAAGGAGTGGGGGTCTGTGCGCCTTCGTGCAGTGCTGTCGGAGATGGTCCGTGAGCGGCATCGTCAGATGGACGTTCGTGTTTTGCCAGATGTGGCAGAATTGACACGTGTTTCGTGCGATAAGGCTTCTGTGGTGTCGGTTCTCTCACGTGCGTTTGGGCTCTTGACAGGAAAGCTACACATTCAGGTGTCGCTGAAGCGGACAACAGAGTCTGTCCAACAACTCGTGGTCGTCTGTCAGCATGACTCGACAAATCCAATTGATCACGACACACTTAACAGATTAGTGCAAGCTGTGAACAGCTTGGGGGGGCTGCTTCTTTCTTCTTCAGGTACAATAAGGATTCAAGTACCATTTATTGTCGAGGACGGTGCCGGTCAGCCACTGCTGCGCCCCCGTCATAATCTCATGAAGTTCAACGCTAAAGATCCCCTCATTATTCTCCTTTTGGAAAAAAATGCGGTTTACCGGCACAACATTTCTGTTCTTGTGTGGAGTTTCGGTCACTCATTGCGCGTCGTCGAGAGCGTCGCAAAGGCGCTGCAGGCTGTGAATGACTCGAGTAGCGATATTAGTTGCGCGATTGTGGATGTTGATTTGCGGGATGCAGAGAAGGTGCTCGACGGTCTCTTCTCCCAACGTATCTACACTATTGAAACTTCAGAGACCGCCAAGGATCCCATAAAACGCGGTAATTCACTTCTCACCAAACCAATCTGTCGAGACGCATTTAGCCAAGAGCTGTTGCAGGCGGCCAGCAAGGTTGAGGAGAAGCGGAGGGCGGAAGAAGAGGTGATGAAGCGGCGGGAGATATTTGGTAAGGTGCGCAACAGCCCGTGGATTTGTGGACGCAAGCTTGGAAGGGGGGCCTTTGCAGACGTCTACGAGGCAACCTCAACTCTGACAGGCGGCAAAATGGCGGTAAAGATGATTCGCCTCTCTGGCAAATTTGAGGAAAAAGTAAAGGACCTTATGAATGAGATTGAGATATTGTGTAAGCTTACGCACCCCAACATCATTCATTATTTTTACTGCGAACGGGCGGAGAATACGATCAACTTGTTCATGGAGCTTGCCGATCAAGGGACAGTGGCCGATTTGCTGAGGAGGTATCCACGTCTTCCGGAGAATCATCTGCTGAAACTGACAAGGGAACTCTTACAGGCAGTGAACTACCTCCACGAGTGCGGTATCATCCACCGCGACATCAAGCCAGGAAATATGCTGATATCAAGGGGTGTGCTGAAGCTTTCGGATTTTGGCACTGCAACGGTCAATGTTGGAGAGGGAATGTACGGCACCATATTTTACATGGCTCCAGAGGTGATTGAGGGCCGCCCGAGCGGAAAGGAATGCGATATCTGGTCGATTGGGTGCGTGGTGTGTGAGTGTCTTCAAATCAAGCGGCCCTCCCGAGGCGGCGTGCTCCTCGGTTACGGCGTCCCTGAGAGTTTCCCCCCAGATATCTCACCAGAGTTGGTGGATTTCATAAAGGCATGTATGCACGAGGACCCCTCGGAGCGCGCCTCAGCGGGAACGTTGCTGTTGCATGATTTTATAGTAAAACTGGACCACGAAGTCGACCCGCTGACGCCACTTCCCCTTGACCCAATGACGACCACATGGAGCTCGCTCGGGCATACAGATCGTTTCACTGCGGCAACCTCCGACTCGGCGCCAAGCTGGTCGCTAAGGGAGTGAGAGAAAAAAAAAGAGTTATATATATATATATATTTATTTATTTATCGTATGTTTTGCTTCTGTATCTGTGTAAATCCTCACTATATCGTATGCCACAACTGCCACAATCGTGCCTATTTTTGTTTTGCTTTTCGCTGGAAACGTGGTTTGAAATTGTTCTTCTTGCGAGAAGCAGCGTACACCTTTCACATTTTCCTTGTTTTTCTCACTACTTTTCACACGTGAGAGAGGGAGCTGGTAGAAGGTGGCAGGGGGAGAAAAGAGAGACAAAAAAAACAACGTGATGAAGCAGTCGCTGCTGCAGTACGCTGAGCAATCCCACCTGGAGAGGGAAGGTAATTCCCCGCCACTGCTACGCACTGTGTCGCGCCCCGCATCGCACTGCCCGCTGTTTGACGTGAAGATGGAAACAGAACACGCATGGCCTTCCTCCAACTTGCTTAACGGTGGTGGCCGCTATCGAGCTCAATACCACAATGGCGCCCATCTTGTAATGAGCGACAATCGCCTACTTGTCGTTCACGATGATGGGTACTTTTACTGTCCTCCGTGGGGGAGCCCCATTCACGACGCGTGCATCCAAAAACAGGGACCAGGCAAGCACTCTGTTTTGGTGGTTGGCCTCACAACTGGAGTCTACTTGGCCTTGATAGGGGAGACGTCGCCTGTTCAAATTGTGGACGACACCTTTGTCACAACCCGTCATCCAGTGGAAAAAGTTGTTTTTTTGCGGGATGACGAGGTGGCACTTTGTTACGGGAATGCCGATGTGAAAACCTATCAGTTTGTCTTGGAGGAAATGAAAAGGATTGACCTGATCCCATCCCGCAGACAGAACTCGTTACGGATTTTGGAGGCTGTGACTTCCATCTGGAGTACGAGACGGTACCGCGAAAGTGCCTACGATGCCAGCAGTGGGAGACTGTTTGTTTTATCAAACACCGATCTCACGATGTGGGCCCACACGGCGACTGGTGTCTTCTCTGCGGTTTGTTCCGTGGCAGTACCAAAGAATGCAGTGACGGTGCTTCCAAGTTTTAAACAGGTGCACCGCCACGCGACACTTGTCCTAGCCGACGGAGGGCGACAACCTGTGCTGCTCGAGGGGGTAACCACAACAGCGTCTAGTGATTCCAGACCTGTGATGCGCCTGGGTTCTGTGCGTCCTCTGCCACAGGATGTGCGTGTCGACAGTGTCCAGTTAGCATGTCAAGACTCTGGTGGCACCACGCTGCTCTACGACTCTCGGACGTGTACGCTGGTGATGGTGACTATTGGTTCCCCTATCTACGAGAGTGTTTATGACGAAGTGGAGGTCGTGTCAACGCTTCGACTGAGCGCTGCGGCGTTGGGTGTTTCGTGCGTCAGCGATCCAGAAGAGCCTCGTGCAAGATTTGTTGTGTACGGTAAAAGCGGCATTCTCTGCGGCATTGCTGTACGCACTCTCGGTTTCATGGTGGCAAACATTGTGCAGCAGCAGCAGCAGCAAGGCCAGAGCGATGTTGCCCTCACTTCGCTTCCCCGTTTGGGGTCGCGGAGAGAAATGGAGGCCATTGCGGTTGCAGCCTTCGCTGGTGCCGCGGTGAAATCTCTGACACCGCTTCTAGACGAGTTGTTGCGGCCATCGTTAAGCGGCAGCAGTATGCGTTTGTCGGCCGGTGCGCAGAGCCTCATTTGCCTTGTCTGTCGCGAGATTGCCGTGGCACAGGGATTCTGGTCTGCTCCATTCTCGTGGCGCCTGACACAAGACCTGGAACGCGTCGCTGAACACCTGAAGAAGTGGCACCGCGCGTTGGAGGAACTACTTCGCCCCCACGGCTGGTTAGACTCCCCAAAGCAGATGGAGTTGTCATGGAACGCCCTCGTCGCCACCGCTCCACATCCATTCACCATGCGGGGTGCCCTCAACGTGCAGGCCGCACTTCTTGAAACGGTCTTGCAGGGATTGCGTAGCGCAGGTGTACTCTGTTGGCTCTACGCCCTGCTGCTGCGCGTCAAGTCGGTCTCTACTAATACTACCACTTATACTACTACTGCAGAGAGCCAGGGGAGGCTGGAACTCTTGGTCTGGGGTGAAAACACAGAAACGACCATCACAGACCTATGCATGAAGGCACTTGCGTCAAATGACAGCACTATTCTGACCCACCTCAAGGAACAAAAAGACGCACTTACAATGCGGGCACGCCACGCCATAAGCATTCACTCATTCATTTCGGCAAACCAGCCTGAAGCAGCGTTGACGTACGCATCTGACAACATTAAGTCGCTCCATCATGAACAAGTTATGGACTACGTGGTCGACAAGCTTGAAGGCGCGTTCCCTGACCGTATGCCGCGCCTGCTGTTGCTGTTATGCTGGCTGAAGCATAGCCGAAGTGCTCTGGAGGACCTCCTAGGGTTGCTGGACCGATGCCTCGTGAACGAACCCACGGAGATGCTTAAACGGCGTCTTGGGGCCGTAATGCAGGCTGTGGCGGAAGACGCTGCGCTACAGAACGCTGTGGTGCAATGGATGGTGAACCATCCCTTCGAGGATAGCCACATCATGATGCTTGCAGAGGTACTGGAGGAGCATGCCGTCGTCATTAATGAACCGCGCACGCTCACCGCCCTGTTTTTCATCTGCTGGGGCAACCGTGTGCGGCATCCTGCCGTCGCTGCGCGCGGTTTTGGCGACATGGCGAGAAGCAAACTGCGATTGTCGCTCTCTTCGCGGATCCTGTGCATTAAGTTGGCATTAGAATATGGTCCAACAACATCTGAGCAGCTGGCCTACTTTGTTTTGCTGCTCCAGGAGGAGTTGGCGGATGCGATCGAGGCTCTTTGGCAGAATAACACCATCAGTGGCGGCAGGTGCAGTGGCGACGCTGCGCCGCTTGACGGATTGCAAAAACAGAGAGCAGAGGCAGATGTAGACGAGCTGCGCCATTTCTACGTGGAGGAGCGGCGGCTCTTTGAGCTGGCGGGGCACTACAAGGGCCAGGGTGGCGCCAAGGTGCAGCTGGACCTGCTTAAGGTTCACCCAGAGACCCCGGAGAAGGTGACGGCAGAGGTTCTACAAGACCTGTTGGAGTTCCTCGTCAGCGTGGGCGGTATGGGCGTCACCGATGCGGTACGTAACGTGGTGCGCGAGTACTACGACGGGTACGCCGCGGGTCTGCCGGTGTCGCCCTTCGTGATTTTTCTCGCCCACCACGGGGAGGGGGCTGAAAACATCGCCACACTCCTGCAAGCAAGCGGTGTGCCACCGTACGCGGTCTTTGACACATTCCTCTGCTTCTTCGACGAGCGACGCGAGGGTGCAACATTCAGCAAGGGTGCAGTGGCGACGACCCTCGCGACGACGGTGGAAAAGTTGTCGGGTGAGAGCCGTGGACTCTGCGCCGCATACCTACTGGAGCGCATTCACAACCTGCTGGCTGGCGATCCCCGTGCCACACTACTGCAGCTGCGCGAGAGCGATGTGGAGCAGCTGCAGCGCGCGGAGGCGATGCTGCGCAGGTCGTTCTCCATTTCTCCATGCGCGTGACCGCGGCGGACGGCCGACCATAAACAAAGGTGGAGGGAACGGAATAGTTGCAGCAGCAGCACTGACACCAGAAGTACTACTACTTCTACTACTGTTTTACAACACGAACAGATCACAAGGCAAGGCTGAACGGAGAGATAAAAAAGAAGTATGACTGGTGGCGCGGCCGCTCTCTCACTGTCTGTATCCCCCACATCGCTACTTCTACTCCGCCTTCTTGGCCCTCGTCCCGCCGTGGGTGCTATGTGCGGGGGGTGTGAGGGATGCCTTCTTGTTGAAGCTGCGCAGCGGTGTGGTGTTTTTTATTTGTTTTCTTGCCCCTGTATTTATTTCCTCTTCCTCTCTCTCCTCCTTTTATTTTTTTTTTTAATTTGTAACCCACTTGCTCTGCTACACACGGCAGCGTGCGTTGACATGCGCCGCAGCACCATTCTCTGGGCATTGCAGCAGCTCAAAAAGGCACCCGCCGCGTCGGCCACAAAGCTTGGAGGCGGTCTCCTTTTTGCTGACCGCGCGGTAAAGATGACGCACGCGAACGCGCTGGGCTGCTCCTTCATCTGCACGCCCGCCGTCCTCGCCTGCCGCTGCCCGCACGCCTCCACAGCGGTGCGGCTGGCGACGGACGAGACTGGCGTGGCTCCCGTCGCGCAGGTGCAGCTGCGCGGCATGTGTGCTGTCTCGCTCTTCCGCTCGCAGCGACTCGCCTTCCATTGCGCGGGGGAGGCGGGGATCTTGCAGACGCACGAGATAGGCCTCAGGTGCGGCGATGTGCTTGCGCTCCTCGGCGGCTGCGATTTGCTGCGTGACTGGAGGTCTGTCGACCGGATCCTGCGCAGCGTCGCCCACGAGGACCTCGAGTACATCACGGAGGAGCTGCTGTTAGAACTGGGGACAAACGCGCGGGTGGAAGGCGACACCAATAGTAACAATAGTGACACTGACGATGATAGTGGTGGCAACAGCACTTGCGTCATGACAGTGGTGCGGAATAAGCCGTCCGGTATGCTTCCGCAGCCCCCCGCGTCTCTGCAATGCTCGGCGATGTAGAAAGGGAGGTGGGAGCAGAAAGTGATCTATTAAATGAATTGAAGACGAAGACGAGGAAAACAAGAACAAAAAAAAAAACGGCTTGCAGATAAGGGACAGGGCAGAAAGCAAAAAAGAAAAAAAAATAGTCACGACCACTGCCACCTGCCCATTAGGTGCAGCTGCTGGGGCTAGGTGAGGCAACCTTCAGTAGTTGCGGGTGGCTTTCGAGGGGAATGGCAGCTCCATGAACGCTGCCGTTCGCCCTCACGGCCTCCAGCGCAACCTCTGCGCTGTTTTGTGTTTTGTTTTGCCTTCCGTTTGTGACGATTGCATGCTTCGACATATTTACCATTTTTCATATTATTTAAGAAACGGTACAAGGACCATGGTGCGTCTTCCTGAGATGAAGACACATCTTGTGCGTCCTTTGTATCTCTCACTCTTTCTCTCTTTTTTTTTTTGCGAAATCACCATAGCTTCTCCTTGCTTCTTGGTCATTAGTTTTTCTTTTTTGTTTTGCTTTTCTGTTCTCTTGTTCCCCTTCTGCCTTCTCACTCCCCACCCCATTACCCCCTTATTGCGTCCTGACGGCTTATCACTTCACGGAGGTGTA